GGGACAACGTCGACGCGATTTGTGCCACGACAATTCCCTAATTTCATTTTGTCTGCACTATTAGAGATAGCTACAAGGATGTGTAGGAACGATATAATTTGCCTATACATGCTCAATCATGCTACGAAGTTCGGATTCCAGTGTCAAAACGAGACATTCAGACTTCAGGATGAGGGAGGAGTTGTCATCCTGTCTGGGAGTTACTTTGTTGTCCAACCTCAGTATTTCGTCGATGATGTCTCCGGCGGAAGGAGAGTCGCATGATAATACGTAGACAGGAGCGGGATGAAAATACGCTACTTCAGCAAAAGGGGTCAACGTGGGATGGCTGACGGTACTCGAAATGCTTCCAAGGTCGAACGCAATAAACTAAGGACAAGGAAAGGTAGGCGCAAACATACTGGACGGAATAGGCTTCCTTCAGGAAGCCAAAAGGATCGTCAGTTTTTCGGTCCATGTGAAACAAGCTACCGTAAAATCGCTGCCAATGGAGAACACAGGCATAATAACTACAACCCGACAACAAGCACGTGATGAGACCTAGAAACAGCTGTTGCCTGATTATATGGCCTCCCGAGGAAGCACTAAAGGAGCGCTTCCCTCCGTCCCATTGTAGAGGCGCCTCAACTAACGGACGAGCGGCATAACAGGTTCGGGGTCTCGAAGTTCATACTGTTGACTCGATTAGCATATTTGGTTAGTCAACCCCCATCCTGGTCAAAGTGATGCCGATAAACCTCCTGCCAAACGAGGTCATGGTACAGTAGGTGAACTAACTCATGCAAAGTCATGATCGAAATTGGAGTTGGTAGTTTACCATACATCTAGTCTAGTTATTTTGATCTGATGAGTGAATCTGATCCCAACTGAGCCTGTTTAGCTCAGTTTATTTAAGGAAAACGGACAGAATTTTGGCGAGATCGGAGGTCGCCAAGTATCCAAGAGATTTCCTAAGCCAGCATGTAGGCCAGAACGAAACTTTTTGTTTTTGTGCTATAGAAGAACATTAATAAAAGGAAGAAAAATGCTGAAATATACCTCTTCAAGAACCAGAAAATTTAGTCTTAAGTTGATGAAAATCAAGTGAAGGCAAGTTTAAGGAAGTGCACTGTTTTTCAGAAACAAAACAATTTCCCTTTCAATTTTTTGCCAATATGTGAAGTGCTTTTGAAACAAACCAAAGTAAAGAATTTTCACAGCATTTTGTTTTACCACGTAGAAGATTTAGGACCGGAAACAAAATACATACATTTTATCGTGTAAGTGGACATACGAAACCATCTTGTTAAGTTTAAAGCATGCGACGAGATACTTTTCGTACAATATAGTTTTTGCTAATGCACGATTTAGAAAGAGACCAGACGGAAGATTAACAGTTTTCGCAGAATCTTAGCCTATATTTGACCACGAATGGGGTCTAAAAGTAATCAAATAAGGTGAGTTTCTGTCATTTCCAATCAAAATTGTGTCATTTATTTCTAGGTAAATAAAAAAACTAGCCATAATTCTTCACTTTCGTTCTGACATTACTTGGAAAAGGTAACATGCATAAATATTCGTCGGCTGAATATCTAATTACAGTGCTTTTTAAAGAAGCAACCTATTATGGGACGTTTTTTAAGTGATCTTAGAGACAACAATATCAGACTTTATTGTGGACATTCTTCTTACTTGTCAACGAGCTTAGGGGTTGGGTAGTTTATAAATATTGCCTAAATGGTCATCTTCATACGAAGTGATATCCAAAAAGTCGCATTTTCGGTAAATGCTTTTAAGAAATATCTTATTTTGAAGGTTTGGATATTCAATTCAAGCAGGATCTACGTCTATGGAAGAAAGCTTGAAAACACTGTAAGTCTTGTAACATTCGAGG